TAGCAGGCAGGCACATATATATAAATATAACACTTGTGTATTTTTTTGTGTGTGTGTGTGTGTGTGTGTGTCTCTCTCTCTCTCTATATATATATATATATATGTGTGTGTGTGTGTGTGTTTTAGCAGCAGGATTGCATTGTGTTATTGGACGGGAAACTAATAAAGCATTCTATTATGGACATATATGATCATCATCGCAGGGCTGAAGAGGAGCGGGAAGAGCCGCAGACTGAGATGGATGAACTATCTGCAGCCAGACCTCAGCAGGGAGCCCATCTCCAAGCAGGAAGAGGACCTCATCGTATCATTGCACAAACTCCTAGGAAACAGGTAGCTTAAGTTTGTTTTCATTCATTCGGATATTTTGATCCATTCCATGCATCTTCCGTCCCTCACATGCATGAACAATACTCCTATATAGGAACTGCATGATGTGCAATGGATATAACTTGTGTACTTTTTTACATGTGAATGTAGGTGGTCTGCGATTGGGGCAAGAATGCCTGGAAGGACAGCTAATGAGATCAAGAACTACTGCAACTCACGCATCAAGTAGAAGCTCCAGCAGAGGATGAACACGGTACCGACGGCAACTACCAATCACCGCCGGAAACAGCAGAGGAGGGAGCCGCTGATATGAACACTTGTGGTAACCTGCAGGCGGATTTGTATCGACAAGCAGCTACCTAAGAGGTTCGAGTTGATCATGGCAGCACAACCTCGCACAACAGCTCTGCAGATCACCCAAGGCCGCTGCCTCAGCTTCCAGTTTTCACAGGCCAACTACTACTGAATCCTAATGCTGCTGCCACTCAAAATGGGGAGCAGACAGCAGCAGTACATCCCTCCCTCTGTGTACCATATTCCAAGAGTCATGAGAGAAACTTTGTGGAAGAGTATGTTGAATTCCTCATGTCTGTCTCGGATGAACTACTGGAGATATGAGTGTGTTGGGGGTCCAACACAAGATGCACAAGAGTCATGAGTGAATATGTGCATCGATCTGTGCACAAAGAAAAATACTTAGTAATATTTTTGTTAAATTAGCGAATTGAACCATTCAGTTGTGTGACTAGTATCAAGAATCCAGTTCATGTAGTATTGTATCATCATGATTTCACAAGTGCACATGGACGGGAAGGATTCTGGCTTTTCAGCTACCGCGCTCTAGCTTATATATACATCAGATTCTGCAGTCGTTTTCATGAAATTAACCTGAGGCGCAAGGATTATTGGTTAGCTTTATCGTCGCGAATTGTCGCTTGTGTTCACCGGGTACTCCCTGCTCCAAAAATAAACGTATGGTTCAGCAGTCGCTTTAGTTTTCACCTTTAGTTTTCTCCTGAAATGTCATTATATTCCAACCTCCCTGCACTTTCGAAATCTAAGCGTGCAGTGACTAGAATTATTATTTGCTTCATTTTACCATATGACCTGAATGGACTTGATCGGATGCCCACATGTTCATAAGTAAAGTCTTGGGAATTTTGTTTCTGGGGCTTAAGTTTCAAATACATAGGAAGTGAATAACGAATAGTTTCATCCAAATCATCACTATTCATTGTCCATCATGCTATATATATATATATATATATATATTCGTCAGCCTCCTAAGCATGCATTTCGTGTAACCTTAGAAGTCCCTCTCAAATTTTACTGGTGCTGTCCGTAGAAATGCTCTATTGGTCCACGTTGTCAGCGCCGTTTTGAAATTTCAGTGGTGGTTTATGCCACAGTGTATAGCCTAATTTTCCAAAGGGCACTTAATTCTTAATTTGAGTGAATAAACAATGAACCTTCAGAATAGCTGAGCAACAAATATGAACATGGATATGTTTTTTGGATCTTAGTGCTACTGTTCCTTTGTGCTGACTGCATCAGGGGCTAACTTTTGACATGATTTTTCCACAAAGCAAATCAAAGGCCAACATCAGTACAAGATCTTGACACAACTGGACCATGGCCATTGCTATGAAAGGAGAAGAAAATGAACGATATACACTTGTCACGCCATGGCACTCTTTGGATGTTAATGCCAATATGCCATGGTATTTCATTGCAAGGGTATATTAAGTTTTGTCCCACAACGAAATAATTTGACTTTGGAAAAAACTACAATGCCACTTTTATGGGACGGAAGTAGTAGTACACATAGGATGTATATGTGCTGCTTGATTTTGTTTTTCAAACATGGTGCTCTTTGTATTTTATTTCTAGCATACACTTGATAGATAAATACTATTCTAATGCAATAAACCGTTCATAATTTACTCACATCTTTCTTCCATTTATGTCTCGGTGCCAAATATTTATAGAACTAGAAGAGAACTGTAAAGACAAGTGAAATTTGTTGCACTTAAAAGAAAATAACTTGCAAATAAAACAGTAACAATTTGAGGAAAAACATGCATCATGTCTGGATAGGTTTGAAGAATCAACATTTCCATTCCATTAGCAAGGTAGCAAAACTCTACCATGGCTAGCTAGCCAAAGGCATCATGATCCAAGTGCCACATACTCTAGGGGTGAGGTCCAACAGATTGATTGAATTAGCACAGGAATGCCTAATCAAATCTGGTTGGAAATATTATTCTGGCCATGCCCATAAAGCTTAGGGTATCATCATGCATGCTGATGACAGAAGGAAGCTCATGTCACCACAAGCTCGTCATTCAGTAAGGATGATGTTGGGTAATAATAAAGTCAACTTCCACGTGCATTTACAACATATATATGTGATGTTTTATCTCAAAGTCTCTTTCACAAAGTCATTGGTGCTTGCAAATTCACTTAGACTATTTAGGGATATGTATTGCTAGTCCATGTTATAGACGACAAAATAATAATTTAAAATGGTTTGCATCAAGTATGTTGCGTAAATTTTCAAAGGCATTAATTCTTAATTTGAGCGAACGATCAGCTTCAGATTATTTGAAACAAGAAATGTACACCTAGATCTCTGGCTTGGAGCATATATAGTGGTAGTCACACACTTTGTTTCTTCAAGCCGACAAATGCAAGTGGATTGCTTTGGACATGATTTTCAACAAACTAAATAAAAGAATGGACACCAGAACACTAGCCTTGTCAAACAAGTAAACATCTCTTCTAGAAACTAATGCATAATATACTAAAACATAAACGACTTTTCCTGGTGATTATTATTTGTATAATTGGTCAATGCTTTATAGTATTTTTTTCATTGTCTAAAAATCTCAATACTGCAGGGAATGAGTTTGATAGCATCAAAGTCACCACTCAAAAATAACTGTAGACAAACTGAAACTCATGTGGTGGTAATTCTATAAGCTCCAGCCCATCTGTTTTCGTGGGTTTTAATCTCATTTCAGAGCCTTAAAGTCTGATATTGTTGAGATGCAACATGCATATACACAGGAGTTTAAACAATCACATAATTAGTATGGTTCACTAGCTACCTAATAAACATGATAAACCCTATGCTTCGATCCACACAAGGTCCAAGCAATCTTACAGTTCTTGATATATATTTATGCATGTGTTAGCTCTATGCAAATATATTTGACCTCCATATATATAGTTTTTTTTCTACAGCTTCAGTGCACTTTTTGTTCCTTTTGTTTGTGCTATACTATCAGTCAATGTAAATTGTCCATCTTTTCTACTTTCCATGCCTACTCCTAGCCACACTTAGTTGAAAAACTTAAAGTGCATCTCATCTAAAAAATACTTTAAAGTCGGGATTAGAAAGGTCTGATCATTTGACATGCACATAGTACAGTTATATGTTGGCCAATATGCATGATGAGAATTTAATGAGAGGGACACTACAATAGTTACCTTTAGTATCCAATTAAATTAACTCAAATGCTAATATTTACCATGCTTAAGTTAGCAAGTCTAAAACTGTTTATATATTTGCAACCAAGATGAGTAGTTTAATAAATTCGCGTTGTGATCTGAACGACTATTAAAACTAGTCGTTTCTTAAATAAATAAATGAACTTTTGGTTGATATTTGAAGAAAAATACATTAAGTTAATACAGTCATCTTGAAAACACTCTCCACCCAAGATATATCCAGAAGCACACAGCTAAAAAAGAAGGAAAAGTACAAGAACACTAACGACCACTTGTCCAAGGACTAGGCACGCAGTCACCCATGTGCCTGAGAGAAACACGCCCATGGCCACCTGTGCTAAATGCGATGCCACCATAGCCAAATTAATCTTGAGGTGCTGGTTTTAGCATGATAGCCCATGAACGAAGCCTATGGATAACCGAGCAGATAGCCTGTAAATAAAAGAGATGAAAATTTTTCTTTTCAATACTAAATCATTCCTGCAAATCAAAAGCAACAAGCAAGTAGTAGCTGCCGCTCCCAATAGGACTAGCAGTTTCAGGCTCTACTAATTCCCTCATATCCAAGATCCAAACATGTCTGAGAAAGGCCTAAAGCCTTGTGAATTACCACCCAAACAACACGAGCAAATCGACACTTGCAAAACATGTTCTTAATTGTCTCCTTTTCATGATAAAAGCTGCATGTCTTACTGCCTTATACCCATTGCGCTTTGCTAAGGTATCTTTAGTAACAATCAACCCCCCAACTCCCCATACATAAGTACCATAGAAAGACTTGATTTTTAAAGATAATTATCAAGATCAGCTGATTGTACGATTATTTAGGATGATTATGTGGAATGTTACATATGTAGTTATACTCCTAATTGATAACTAAACATCTCGATCAATTCTACATTGCAGAGTGAAACTTAATAGGTAGCACATTGAGTACCCTTAACTAAACAATGAACTTGCCTCCAATGAAAAGTTGACTAATTACTAAAGCTAACTCAAAACTGCCCAATTTCATCCATCGTCCAAATATTCGAGACTATACTGGTGGGTAACCTTTTTGGCAGAATTGACATACATACCACTGAATGCAGTATATAAACCAAAACTTGTACCTTACTATGATCTTACAATGTGTGGTGAAAAGCTAGATATATATATCATATCTTCCAACTATCCTCCCAATCAATGAGAGAATTATCAAACACCTCTAGTAAAGCTGGCAAGTCCAAGTCTGCCTCAGGACCTTGAACACTTAAACTTGTTTGAGCCATTTCCATGTTCTGAAGATCCATACTGCTGACTAGTTGAGGAAACTGGACTATGCTGACGCTATGGTCCTTGCAAGTGTGGTCACCGTAGTACACGACTGTGTACTTTGCAATTTCCTCGCCAGCTGTGGCACTACAGGTACCATCAATTTGTTCTTGTTGCTCAGTTGTCTTCGTTGCAAAGCAGTTCTGTTCTCTATAGGTGCATCTATAGTAGCTCCTGCTCAATTGATCACAAGTTCATCATGCCATATAGTGATTATTGTTATATATTTTGTGTCCATTTAACTTTTAGAGATCATTAGCTAACGAAACAAGCTACCTAATAACAACGTAGCTTGTTTTGTTAGCTGATAATAAAAGAATGTAATGTATATATAGACAGGTGTATTACCTAGGATGCTGCCTCCCATTGATGTTCTTCTGCCCATATTTTCTCCACTGATGGCCATCGTAATGTGGAACATGTGTCACAAGGGATCTTGATGGCTTGTCGTTCTTCCTCCTAGATACATATGTGGGATCAGTATGTATATGAACTAAAAATCGATCAATTGATGATGCATGGATGTTACAACAAGATTAAGGGCATGCACATCATCAGTTGAAATTTGCCCAGCAGACCATTAATAACTTGATGAACATGCAAATTAAAGATGTTAAGCTACCTAGCTTCCAAATTAATGCCCCCCCCATATATATATGGTTGAACATGCAAGGCATAGGTATCATGTTTAATATCTTAAATGTTAGTTTTACTAACTCCAGTAACATATATTATGATTATAAGCAAGTCATCAGCTGGGGAAGAGCAGAGCTATGTTGAGGTATCAATATCTAATTGCACACCTTCTCTTTTGACCAACCACGCTTCTATGCCACGCTTGCTCCTCCGTCTTCTCACCATTATTAGTAACACAGCAGCTATTCTTCCTCACCAACGACTTGTCGTCTACGGGCTCTACCGATGATCCGCCTCCGGCTCTGGTACTCAAGAGGCACCCTTCAAGCGTAGACACCACGCCTATGTTGCAGTCGATCACGTCGTCAAAGAGCTGGACAGCGATCTCGGCGGCCGAGGTACCATCGATGACACCGTGGAGCAGCGGGAGGACGAGCGCTCGGAGCTGCATCACGAGCTCCTGCTGCCTCCTCATGGTCTCCATCATCTCCCAGTCATGGCTGCAGGGCGGCAGCATGATGAGGCTGCTCTTGCTGTCCATTCAGGATACTCAATTGCTCTGTGATTGAGGCCTGCACACGACGGTCTCGCTGCGTCAGTATCAGCGTGTGACCGAGGAAGAGAGGTAGTCAGGTAGACGAGAGGGGTCGTGGAGCGTGCACTTGCATTGGTTATATACACACACACACACACAGAGTAGTGCAACAATAGACTGTGATGTCCTGATGATGTGTGACAAGCTTAATTTGCAGGTGTGATGGTGTAGTCCTCGAAAATTTATATATGGCTGTGATCTGAATATATTCAGGAAAATGAATAGAAGAAGCAGCAGCGAGGCAGCATCTATCCATTTGCAGATGTGAACGCATGGGCGCAGGCGCGTGCATGACCACAGTCCCCACAGCTATGTTCCCATCCAGCAGGAGCCCAGGGGGGTGAGACTTTCAACTTCAACTAATAGCTATCTAGGGACGTTTTCTTTCAGAAAAAAAGTAACACATACAAGCCGTTGAATTCACATGCATAGACCAGCAGTGCAGTGGACCATATGGTGGCATTTTTTAGATAATGGAATATATGGTAAAATCGTGAGGTGCTTTAGCCAAATTGCTTAAATAAATCACCTACCTAGATTTCACAAGGATTTCCTGGTGAGGTTTGCCTTTTGGAGCTCATCTCTCTTCAACCTGGGCCCAACCAATATAAAGAGGGAGATCAATGTTGGCCTTATGGCTAGTACACGCCAGTTAGTTAGTAACAAATATGCAATTGGGGCTGCGGAGAATGAATGAGCCTTTATTTGCTTACCAATTGCCATTACATCATATGCAAAGAGATCAAAGGTGCGTGCAAGAACTTGGACTAGCTAGAGTCTCCGTTCCTTTCCTGCGTCCAGACAATCTACTACTGTAGAAACCACAATCCTTGCCAGCCCATTACTATTGGATAGTTTAAAACCGACAGTGTAGGAGTATCACTGCTGGTTTTGTAAGAAAAAAAATAGCACTACTGCCTTTACTACTGCACTTGCTCCTCAGACTTAAATTTTCATTTCAATGCGATTAACTCCCTCTCGCCTTCACTGCTGCACATGTTCCCCAGTCTCTCCCACCGCACATCGCCTCCCCCCTGGCCCCTTCTCTTGGGCTTATCCTCTCTCTCTCTCTCTCTCTCTCTCTCTCTCTCTCCCCCCAACCCCCCGCGGATGACTCCCTCCACTCACCTCCTCCCCTTGCCTTACCCAGCGTGGGGGTGCAAGCGGCAACCCCAACGTGGGCAGGGGAGGCCGAGGTGGCCTAGGTGTGGTGCGCGGGCAAAGCTCCTAGCCATGAGGCTACAGGCAGAGGTCCCCGCCATGCAGTGCCGGTGTTTTCCTCGGCCACTTGTTGTGAAATGGGTGTCACTGCCTGCTGGGTGAGAAGCCGGAAATAAATTAAAACACCGGAGCTATCGCTACAGAATGTTCGAAATCTGGTGGTGAATGCAGGTTGTGGGTAGTGACCATATAACAATGGATGCAAAACCAAACATTTCTTTTGTCGTCGTAGCGGAAGGGGCGGCTTTGGAATGTGCATGACGATCGCTAATTAAATAATTAAAACGAGATGGACCGGGGTTCCCTAGTCCATCCTTGCAAGCTTCCTTGGGGAGCAAACAACCAATTAACCACCTTTTCTATGTATAGTGAACAACTCAATAGACTGATTTCGTACTTTTTAAAAGTTGCCCTTTTTGGCATAAACTGATAATACTAAATTAGGAAATTTATATTTCCTAATGGGATCTTTTTTTCATCAATGTAAATATTATATAGAGAATGGTGATGCATGCTCTAGGTCAAATGTATGTGTGCTAACTAATAATTAAGGCCGGCGCTGTATATATTCTACTAAGGGAGTGCTATATATGTATAGAAGAGGTAGTGGCCACGTATATTAATCTGTACGTCATTCCTACTGATTTATCATTGGAACTAAGTGAGTAATAACCTATGACATTTTCTTTTTCTACTATATATATATATATATATATATATATATATATATATATATATATATATATATATATATACACACACACGTACTCCCTCCGTCCTTAAATAACTGTTGTTTTTTTGTTTCCGTACCGTAATTTTGGCTAGATTTGTAGAAAATACATGCAATATTTGTATCTTCAAATAAATTTATACTATAACGCGAGTGTCGGTGCAGAAAGTGACCAATACGTAAATATTTGTAGTTTTGCCGTACGTTGTGATCGGAGGTGGCCTAGCACTCAATGACACAGGGTTTATACTGGTTTAGGCAACGTGCCCTACGTCCAGTTTGGGTCGGTCGGTGACTTTATTTCTGAGCCCAGGTGCTCGAAGTTTGCAGTGGGGTTACAAACGAGAAGGAGAAAGATGAGGGTACAAGAGGTCCGATCGGACTCTGGTCAGAACGGCCGAGAGTGACAGGAGCTCTGCTATGAGCTAAGTGTTCGGGCGTGTGCTCGTGGTTCGAACCTGGTGCTTCTGTTGCCGTGTCCTTGTGAACTTGATCGATCTGAATGAATCTATCTGTTGGAAGAGAGCGCATCCCCTTTTATAGATGAAGGGGATGGCTTTACAAGTGAGTGAGAGGGAGTACGTTCACTGCTAAGTCTTGCTGACCACGTCGGCGGGTACAAGACGATGGTAGGCACCCACAATACTGTTGAATGTCAGATGCACGTGGGAGGTTGCGTCGTCTCGTTCAGGTATGGCAGATGTCGGTACCTGCTATATTGTTAATGCCCAGAGGCATGTGAGGGGTTTTACCGTGTTCGCCTGCTACGGTAAATGCCGGCGCCCACAACACTGTCGATGCCTCATAGGCACGTGGGGGAGCCTTACTATATTTGTCTGATATGGGAGTTGATGGCGCCCACAACACTATAGGGGAAAATGTCGGCGCCTACAACACTGCTTGCGTTCTGTCATGCCAGGGAGGTCGCAGGGTACTGTCCTGCAGGTGTAAAGGGTACGGTCCTCGGTATTACGGTTGACTTTGAGTGCCCTGCCTTACTTTCTCTCCCTGTTTCCTGGTCCCTACCGAGTGGGTGTCCCCGGTCGGTTGGTCCCAGTCGGTTCTAATTGCGCCAGTCAGAGAGGAGCCATAGGCAAGGGTCCGGCGCATTCCTGGTTGGAGAAGCGGGCCGAAGTCAGAAGTGGCATTTTGGCCAGGCCTTCTGGTCGGAGAGATCGTCCGGAGGTGGGCTAGAGGCCGAGGTGAGCGCTCCGGTCGGAGAGGTGGGCCGGAGACGGAGCGGGTGCCATTCCTTCTCGGCTAGGCCTTCCGATCGAAGATTAGGTCGTTCGTCTGGCCTGCCGTCTAGGTATTTGGGCTGGCCCATGAGTTCAATGTTGCTTACAACGTTGTCCGTTGGGCCAAACCTTTGTTGAGAAGCTGGTCTATGAGGGACCCCGGGTTTATGAACCCGACAGCGAGTGTGTAGGAGTAATTACACCACGAAATGAGACTAAGTTTGCACTGTATGTCCACTGTCCAAGTAGTGCCAATGCTACATAATTTATTTTTACCGATGGTACTTAGTTTCACTGTCAGTTTGACCCAAACCGATGGTGATGCTTTTTATTGCCGGTTCATATAAAGAAACCATTAGTGAAAGTGGGGGTGATTATCGATGATAGTCCATCATCACCACCGGTTTATGTTACCAACCATGGTGAAAATTGCCGCATTTTCACTACATCATACGAACCTGTGGGGTATGACCCCCGGTACTCGTAAGGATCCACATGGGCCGAGCCACTAGGGGAGGCCCAGCCCACAAGACTATGCATGGGTTGCGCCACTGGTCGAGGCCAAGCTCGCAAGACAATGCCACATGAAGTATGCTGCAGGACGACATGCTTCACAAGGCACGTAAAAATTCTCAGTGATCTATGAAATCTGCTCGGATATGATTGATATTGTACGATCTATGACTTCCTGTCTCATAAACCGATCAGAATGGAAATAACTGATCTGTAACCCTACCCCCAAGCTATATAAGGCGGGTAGGGACCCTCCTCATTCAAATCGAATATATGCAATACAATCCACAAAGACAAAGGACGTAGGGTATTACGTCGAGCTGACGGCCTGAACCTGTCTAAATCGTTGTCTCTTGCATTTTGTGTCACCATCCAGTTCCCTCACGCACACCTCCACCGATTCATCTACTACCATGGGCATAGCCCTCGGTAGACTGCCGACCAGATTTCGTCGATAGTGGCGCTCTAGGTAGGGGGTGTGCGTGTTGAATCCATGGCAAACCAGATGGTCACCTTCCCAAGCTCCATGGCCCCCCTCAAGCCAGGCTAGATCTTCAAAGTTGGATCCTTGACTTGGGTCATCGGCCCCGATGGCAACAGGGAGATCGTGGAGGCGGTGTGGGACCACACTGCGCCGATCGCGCTGAAACCAGCAATGACATCTCCGGTCCCGGTGCCACGTCACGGGATCAGGAGATCCATCAGCAACGACAGCCTGATCTCATCCATCGATTGGGTCACAGATCTCCTAACAGAATGCCAGCTCCTCGTGGATTCGGTCCTAGATCGATCTAGAGCGAGCGATGATTTTCCTACGCTCCAAGATCACCAAGCCACTGTGACCGAGCAACCTACTCGGCCACACCACGGAAGGCAGATAGATTCTGATCTGGTGATCACGGCTACTCTAGAAGGGTGCATGGTGCGGCACCGACCACTTCCTACCACCGGCGTTCGCTTGGATGATTATGAAGCCCCGATGGAGAACCCGCCAAGGCCCTACCCCTTTGAGCTGGAGGGTGCATGATCTACAAATCAGAACACCGTCCACCACCTCTTTGCCGACCACGTCATTGACCTCTGCATGATCGACCCAACTGACTCCGGTCAGCCCGTGCCCGTGGTCAACATGGTGGCCATTCATTAGCTCTTGGAGGATTCCCCTCTTCCGATCGAATCTCTTCACCACGTCTTGGACGAAAGCCCCGATGATTCTTCCGAGGGCTCGACCAAGACCCTGTTGA